CAATTCTACCATTGCGCCCACATTCATTCTAAATCGCTTTGGCGTGGTTTTTCCGTTGGCGAAACTGGGGGTGGGAGGACTTAATGCACCACTTCCTAGGTAGTTGTGGTCTTTTTTATGGGACACGATGAAACAATTGTTGGTTGGCCCTGTGTCCCCCATAGGCATATAACTCTCACCATTTCAGATTCTGTTTCTATTTCTTCTTCTCCTTCCTTTCAAAGGTTTCTTTTGCCTGCCGGGAGTACGCTCGTCATGCGGTCGACTTCATTGCCCGTCGTTCTCGTCTCTCCTTCCTCAATGTTCGTGTAGCCGATGAAGTGCTGCCCAAGGTTATCGACCTCATGGGCAAGGAGCTCCACTGGTGTCCCATGCGTAGGGCTAAGGAACTCGAGGAGGCCAAGGTAAGTCCCCATGCATTCATGCATTCTTATTCAAATGACCATTCTCGAATTGCAAGGCGGTTCGCCCTCGAATGCCCCATGTTATTCGAAAAGCACTACATTGACTTGGTGGAAGTAAACAATGTGGGCACGCGACAGCATGATATCTCGTTTGGCAAAAATATTATTCCCGAGGTCTTTCCTCAATTAGATTAGTTTTTTGACTGGCAAATAGCAGCTTTATGCATTTACAGGCCTTAGAAACTAGATCCGTTTTTTATCACCAAGTTTGCTTCATCTGGTCCAGAATGCTTCCTTCGTACGGATGCGCATAAGGGTATAGGCTCTGTAATTTAAAGGAATACGCAGCTAGCACTACACGACACGTTTTGGCTTGGCCTTGGGGAGGGCGGCGACAGATGTAGAAAAAACAAATGTCATTCAGTGACTCCATACATGCATCAATAGGCAATCATTCCGGTAAACATATTGGCGTGTACCAACGTCGTGCTTTCGACACCTGCATAATTAAGCTTTTTGACAGGCATTTGGATAAGAAACGATGCCTGCTTGTGGGGATGATCTAAGGAAACGTCAAACAGGTTCAGTCCTAAGACTAGGATAAGTGACACATTAGTGCAGAGGCTGGAGGGAAGCAGTGTTTAAATCCATTTTTCATTGGTTTATTTAAATCCATTTTTCATTGGTTGCGTTCGACACCCCGCCGTCTCCCCAGTAGCACCGTCGTTACCGCACGAGTAGGCGGGGTGACAGGGTCTGTTCGTTGTTTGACTGGGTTTAATGGACTGGAAACTTCCTTGCGCCGTTCTCCGGTAAATTTCGCTTTCTGGTGAATAGTCTGTGGTCGATAACGCACTTTAATGAAGGCGGGAAATTAATGTTGGACACTGCTGACTGAAAAACGAAGCTTTGCTACCGCAACAAAATGCCTGAATTATGTTTGGTGTTTGAAATTGCTTCTTTATGACGCAATACGACTCCATCACCACGGCAAACAAAATCCCAGAATTATGTAATACGCGACCGCAGATATTAGGGTTTTCAAGGAAGGGGCATAGCAGTGCGTAGTACGGGATATTTACAAAATATTGCATGCAAAAATAGGAAATGGTAGATAAAATTATTATAATGAGCTACTATATACAACGAACAAGCGTACGATTATTGAAAAGTAAACCAAAAGCATTTTACGGCAATTCAGACCCGAATTCGAATCAAATCAGAGTATTCAAAAAATTGAACGCTAATCGGACCCGAAAATTAGAATTTAGTTTTCCAACCGGACAGCGGGTACCTTACTTACTGAATAAAATTCCTCTTTACGAATTATGGTTGTAAAGTAACCTTTCGAAAACCCCTCATAGTGCTTGTAATATATCATGAATATTAAATGCGACAAAAGCCTCACTGTACAAGGATATAAATTTTTTTGTTTTCTGTGCATTTTGCTCACTAAATATTTCCGTGGGGTGTGCAATGTAATATGTGGATGGACTATGCCTTACAGTAAAACAGTCGACGCCCAAGTAATAAAACAAAACATACTTGCTACTACGAATTAAGTGAGCAATTGTGCAAAGTAAACGACAGATCGGTGATGGCGTTAAGCTGTCCCACCGACTCCTCTGTACGACTGAGACGGCGGCACTCTACGAGTACCTGCCGAGTTTTCTGGGTTACACTGTTGCTGGGTAGTCGTTGGATGACGAGCTTCTAGTGATTAGTTATTAAGTAGCAGGTAGGCTTTTTATGCACCATTATAACGTCTCCATTCCCCTTGATCCTGACGCTCCTGTCAGACCCCATTTTTATCCCTGAATATGGACCTTTACCATTTTGCTCTTGCAAAAGCGCCTCAGATGCGTCTTTTCCCTTGAGACGTTATTGGCATCCGACTCTTAAGTAGAAAAACAAAGCATGCTTACTACTACGAAATAAGTAGCCAGTTATGCAAAGTTAAAAAAGAAATCGGTGATGCAACGAGCTTGTAGTAGCACAGTATGGGAGTGCCAGAAGGTCAGCCGATACAGTAGTTCGTCTCAATAGTAAACACCAGTCAAGTCACAACTCCCTTTCCCAATCATGTTTCCCTTACCCCAACAGTCCTATTGGTAAGCAATAATCCCAATCTTTGTACACATTTTTCAGAACTTCCTTGAAACCGAAATGGGATTGAGCATGAAGGGCTATGAGAACATTCCTATTAACTTCTCTGAACAGGAGACCGAAGAATACCTTAAACAGTTTAACAGCATTGATTCTGGCCGCAAGGGTTTCATCACTCTGAACGACCTTCGCAGCTTCTTTAACGTACGTTTCGTTCCTGTACATTTGCCTTTCATCCGTTTTGCCGCTGACCGCTTCTCATGGATGCCCACACGCGAAGGCGGTTACATGTAGGTGGAGCGAGAAGAAAACAGCCAACGTTTTCACTACGTTGGGTGTGTATGTGTAGAAAAATGACACACTTCGCTGCTGATGCGAGTTGTGCAATGGGACCGCCCTCAAGCCTCGTGTCTATCGGCACAAAAGACCTTGACTTCTGAGTGCCAAACCGCAGATGTGAGACGATCAGTTATACAGGATTTGATAAATTATTTTATAGGTTGTTTTCAAGGTCCGAGGTCTAAAAAGCAGTGCTATTGTACTATTTTGTGTCTTTCAGTCTACCTATCGTTAAGTTACTCTTTTGGTGGCCACTCTCTTCATTTCTTTAGCTGTCATTGAAATAATTTATCCCCATATTATTGCTCTAGTTCCGGTCAGTATTTCGTCCATGCGAGGGCAAATGCAAAAGGTTAGAACTACTGCTTCTTCGAGAACAAGATTTGCGCAGCTTTAAAATATAGCACAGTAGGTAGGCTATCACATGCAGTGTTAACCGAAATACTGAAATGTTTTTTTTTTCAATTTGAAAATATTGTTTTTACAGGGTTGTATGAGTTATTGAGCAGCATAGTTCCGAGGTACTTTGGACGTACAGAGTTGCCGACTCGTTAATGCATTTCTTCTTTGCCGCCTGCAAAAAACGCATTCTGTAAAAAATTATTACTCAAATAGTATGAATTTTTCGCATTGACTTTCGACGCCGCTAGAAATTCACATATATTTTATAGAAAATGTGCACGAAAATATTGTTTCTTATGCCCATTTTGTGGAAAATTTAAAAAAAACTTGCTTAATTCTCAAAATAACTTTGAGCGCAGCGTTCCTAAACTCCAACCCGTATATTTTTTCAGCGTAATGAAATCACACTCTTCTATAGGCTGCTGAGAAGAAGTGGAACTTGTTGTACACTTTACACTTTACAAACTGCATTAATAGATGGACAGATACGATGCTTTGTGAATGGACCTGATATGATCCTACAAAACATTCTAATTCCCATCAAAGAATTCAGAAGAGCGGTCTGCGAACATACCCTTGCTTTCGATAAATTCGCATCGGGAACGTGTTCAAAGTAAAACGCGTGGTTGTAACTGACTTCTAT